GTATAGGACGCAAGCAGATTTTGACATCAAATTTTGGGGTAAAAAGTTCGTCTTATACACCGAAAAATACGGTACTTTTCCGTTTCTAAGTACCAAACGTAAAGTATAACGGAGATTAGATGACTTTGATAGTGCAGTTTTAAAAACTGTGGATTATTCTTGATAACTTGCCTTACGCAAATCAATGCCACACCGAGAGATTTAATTGTTGGCTAGAAATGAGGAAATTCAAGAACGTTATAATTCTGTACTATAAACTATAATATAACGCAAGTTTTGTTGAACTCACGCAGCTATATTTGTGTTATTATGTCTGGTCGTCATCGAGATATGGGAAGAAAGTAGTCATTAAAAAAAAAAGTCTTCTGTAAGCAACGAAGGCACATCGTTATGCTAAGCTGTCTTATATCAGTACAATGAAAGCCAAAGAGGGAAGACATTGGTAGTTTTCTTCTGTGATTATTTTTACTGAGTGCTTTGATTGTCTCAAGCGTGGTCATGTAATATTCACATTATTATTTATATATTTGTTTGTTTGACCTTAACTACCCCGTGGACTTCTTCCCATGTTCTCAGCACGAAAGCCGCGCAAACTAATCAATAAGATAACGGTAGATTATTTATGTATTTCAAAAATATTCTTACAGAAAGAGCCCTGTATTGATAGAGATATGGTCCTGCCCACTTCCCTGCTGGCCTGACCAATTAAACTCTCAGAGTTACGTTCAGGTTAAATCTTAATCTCGGCATCTTGCCAAAATTATTACGGACTCCGAGCGCGAGTTTGAATCTAATCTTTCTCAATATCAGTTTCCACTTCTCAAACAAAAAAAATAAAAAAAAATAAGAAGAAAATTGTAAAGATCAAAGAATGGTATTGCAGTTTTTAATATTTCAGTAGTAACTATTGTCAATTCATTGAACAAACTTACTACGATAAATCTTCCACCTATCTAGAGTATAATGTTTACTATTAATCCAGGTTAAGTAGTTAGCACACAGGATCACCTACAAAAGTTGTAATATTTTCAAAACAAGATCCAAAACTCGAACGCTTTCGAATAGTCAACTATTCAAAAGAGCTTGAGTTTTGGGTCTCGTTTTGAAAATGCTTACTATTAAGATAATGTTGGACTACTTAAATTTACATTATTTGTTTATTTTGTTTCTATAAAGATTATAATATAATTTTTAATGGCTATTTTCTATTCATTTAGGTTCTGGTTCTACCGAAATGCCAAGAATTAATTATGAAAAATACAATGGTCGAAAATATCGATTTTTCTACGCCTTAGGAAACAGAGAATCCGATTTAACAACATATATTGTAAGTATATATCTGTGTAAGTATATTTGTAACTATATATCTATTTTATATATCTGTGTGCATCACTCCACACAACTGTCTGTATCATAATTTACATGTATATATATACAAAGCGCAATTGTCCAAATGTGTCATAAGTTGTTGTGATGAACTGGCTGAACCAATTTCTGTGCATTTTGGTACAGAATTCAGTTAGATTTCCCCACTTTCCTCAAGATCAAGTATAATTTCAATTTTATCTCCTTAATACCACGAAAGATGGCTCAACTGAGCGAGGAAATCCGTAACAAAATACGTACAATGCTAACACCATACAGAAGTAACGTTTAATGTTCCACGTGGCACCATTACATCGGACGAACAGTTTATTTTCTACGGCTTTTGTCTTTGTACTTGTATAGAAACCCTATATGCTTAGCCAGAGATCATACCTGAAGAAGGGAGGCCAATGTTCTGTCGAAACATGCAGTATGTTAGCACAAAACTAAACCATTTCTTTGTGCTTATAAATGGTTGTTTGTAAGTTTATTACTATATTAACATAATGTATTTCCACACACAATAATCATCACGTTGTTATTCATTGGAACAATCACCCTATTATCAGAACTTATTCATCAGAATCATGACTATTATCAGGGTTTGTTATTCACTGGAACAATCACCCTATTATCAGAACTTATTCATCAGAATCATGACTATTATCAGGGATTTCTTATTCATAGGAATAATCACCCTATTAATAGAACTTATACATCTGAATCATGACTATTATCAGGGATTTGTTATTCATCGGAATAATCGCCCTATTAATAGAACTTATTCATCAGTATCATCACTATATCATAAGAGTTCTCATCATATTATCATGGGCTTGTTAGTCATCAGAATCATTAATCTATTATCTGGAACTTATCAATCAGTATTATCATCTTATTATCAGGAACTTATTCATCAGCATTATCACCCAGTTATCAGGGAAGTGCTATTAATCATCCTATTATAACATATGTAGTTGTATAATAAGATATCTTTCTATATGAAGCCTTATTATTAAATTAAAATAGACGCTTTCTTACCACATAAACAATGAGCGACATAAAGTGTAATGTAATTTAAAAACCTAAAGATCTGTAATAATTTTGTTACTGTTAAAACCTTTTGTTAATTATTTCTAAGCATAAATAAATTATACAGTATATATCAAAATATACGCGTGTATTCAAATATGCCGCTCTATACACGTGGTTAGGTTTTAAACTTAAAATCAATGCATAAATATATCTAGCTACTCATATAAAAGTTTACCTATCTAAGCCTAAGCTTAACTTTAACAGCAGATACGAGACTACCAATCCAGTGATCAGTTGAGTCTAACCTTAGGTTTATAAATAAATTTACATGTGAATTTTAAGGTGAAATTTATACTTTGAGTAAATTATGAAATATGACTGGTTCTCAGTTAACAGATAGCCCTCGTGTAACTTTGCGCGAAATTCAAAGCAAACCAAACTCATTATTAGTTGTTTGAAAACAATGAATAATTTGAATAAAATGCATTAGAATAAAAATTTCAATGTGATGACCAAGTGAAAATACAATTGTAAGCTATGTTATTTCCCACTGTCCGTTTTTTTCAGGTGCTTACGCGTATGTGTCTTTATTCTCACTTTGCTATGAGCGCTGTGGTTAATGGTGCACCGCATATTGTTAGTAGTTCTAGGTGTTGTGGGCGTGGTAAATTTGTGAATCATTTGGGTGGTGAATTCAATATTTGGTTTGGCAGACCCAAGGCAACAAAAATAAATCAAGTATTCTTTTATTATCATTTGTTAATCATGGCTCATCGCAGCATAGAAGGAAGATATTAATGTTGATGTGATCTTATTCAGATTAAAGTTGACACGGAAACAAAAACGAACAAGATTTGGAGCGAAAACAAACGAATACCCTCAGAACCAGTGTTTGTCGCCAGTCCGTATGCTGTTGACGAAGACGATGGTGAGTGCAGATAGGTGTTTTCGCTTATTACATACGTACTTGGTTGATAAGAACCTAAAAGAAATTTGACATTACCAAATCACCACCATTGAATTATACAGACTTCCTACAGATGTGTTATCTGCAAAAGGGAATATATTAACTGAAAGAAAAGCAATGAAAAATTAGGGAATGAATCTAAAACCTGATGTTTATTTAGATTCGATATACCTACTAACATAAACTTCCACAGTATAATTAGCTGTATTCCTTCATTATGTAAACTTTATAATCAGCTGTATTCCCTCATTATGTAAACTTTATAATTAGCTGTATTCC